AGATTTTTTTTTACGGTAGTAATTTTTTAATGCAGCTGCCAAAAACGATTATGTTGTCGCTGCAACTGAACGAGAAATTTTGAAGCAGTAGCCAAACCTTTTTTTGCTAACAATATCGCATTTAAATAGGCAATGTCTTTATTGATTTATGAAACATAGCTTCGCTTAAACGGTAAAAATTTGAGACCAAAAAAACTTGTAACGAAACGAGTGCAAGACGAAATTTGATTTAAACATACAAGCGCCTATAAAATACAAAAAAAAAAAGGCATTAAATAATGTTAATATCACAGCTTGCTCCTCAAAACAAGTAATCATATCAACAGGCCTAAGAAACTCCGTTCCAAATACTTCAAATATTTTTCAATTTCTTTCGCATTTCATCATTCAATTGGAATATGGTTCCATGTCCGGGCACAATGTATTGGCATAATTCTGCCATGCGGTATCGTTGCTCCGCCTGTTGTTTTTCATCCTCACTGCCAGCAGCTTTCCATATCTGGGCATCGTCTATGTCCTCAAAACGCTCGAAGAGATCCCCGCATATGCCCACAGTGGTGCCATCAAACTGACTATTGTGCACGATAACCGATGCACAACTTAACGTATGCCCAGGTGTCTTCTCCAAGAGAACCTCTCCGTGCGTATCCAGTGCTCCGGTATACTCGGTGTAAAGATCATGTTTGGATGCTGTGGAGCCGACAATATGTAAGCGCGCTTGCTGAAATAAATAATTGCAGCCAATATGATCCGAATGTCCATGTGTACATACAACCACATCTATATCATCTGGTTGCAATCCCTGTCCAGCTAGCAGAGATTTCAAGTGCTCGCCATCCCATGCAGTCATAGTGTCCACGATGATATTGCTGCCATCACGGCAGCGGATTAGCGTGCAGCTGCAATTGGCACGCATCGCTTTTGGATCATTTGCATCCTCATGGGCATAGCCCGATTGCAGAACAATTACGTGATTTTGCAACATTTTTTAAGTAACACAAATTAATATTAATTTTATCAGCCAATAATTAAGGCTACAAAATTCTTGTTTTGTTTTCAAATCAAGAGACAAAAGTAACTTTCAAATTATCAGTCAGCTGTTTGTGGAATGAGCAGCTGTGAGCTTAGTAAATATGTTCTCTTTGAATAGTTCTCTTTTGATTTTTCAAGTTTCTTCACATGCACTTGTTCATTTCAGCTGTGGTGCTCATACAACGAAGAACGAAGCTTACTGGGACAACCAGAGCTCATATGTCAATACTCTTTATTTTCTTTTTCTCTTCATTCTAGCCGCTATGCTGAATTTTATATGTTCATTTAAGCTTATGTCGTTTGCTTGCTTACTCACTTTGGCACACTCATTTAAAAGAGTCCGTTGCATTACCAGGGCTGCACCATCATCCACACAAGTTGGCAGCGCCCGCACGGCTGTTGGTCGTCGCGCTCACATTTAGCAAGTCGCAATTTGTTTATTATTTAACACACATAATTTTCTGTATAAAAATTGTAAATTTTCAAATGTATTTAAACTACCTGCCGCGCTCGCCATGCAAATACCTGCAATATATGCAGCAAATGCGACAACTGCAACTATTACGGCGACATGTAAACATGGGCGCAAAGCCGCCTATCAGAGAGGCAACACAGTCGAAGACAACATCAAAGCAGCTCCAGCAATTGCTGCCAATAGCTGCAACCCACACATACAGCATGCAGCGCCATGCAACATTTAGTAGTGATCACGAGCAACAGGTGTCAGATGAGCTCGATGGCTGCGAAATATCCTCCTCCTTCGGCAACTTAGATGATGAGATAAATTTATATTTGAGTGCAGCCCGCAGTCCACAGGAGTTAATGAATATGGTTGCCCAAAACCAGATGGAGCTCCCACATCGCATACAGTGCATCTCTATGCTCTGGGCCCTCTATCAGCAACTTTCGGGCAGCGAGAAGTCGGAGCTGACCCTCCAGCTGCAGCAGTTGCTTCCCTCCTTGGCATTCCATGTAGCCTCCATGAACATGGATCAGTTGAGCTGCTGCTACCTTTATCTACGCAAGATGCACGTGCCTAATAGTGAGCCCACACTGGAGAGTATACTGATGCGTGCCCTGGAAATGATCGAGTTGGCTGTGGACAAGGAACTGGTGGCTTTACCCGCGCTCTCCCGTTTGCTGGTGGCCATCAATTTGGAACGAGATTTCTTTACGCCCCTGGTCTGCCGCAATTTTATTCCACATCTGGAGCAGCATGTGACCAACTGTCAAAGCGAACAAGACGCACGTCTCCTATCCACCTGCCTCTTCCAGCTGCATCCACTAATCGATGCAGAAATGTTAGCCAGATTCAAGCAACGCGTTTCTGAACTGCTACAGTCTGGGACACTGAGCAGTGCCACGCCCAAGACACTACTCAAATTACTTCACATGTTCAATCAGCCCACCTGGTCACATTTGAACACAACCATGATACGACAGTTGATGCTGACCCTGTGCTATTGTGTGCCCACGCTGGAATCGAATGACCTGAAGATCGTCTGTCGCACCTTTCTGCATCATCATGAGCCGGCAGCACTCGTAGCGCCACTCAAGCAGGCAACAGCTGCACTGCTGCAGCAGGAGCCAACGGCAGATGCATTATTCTGCGCCGTGCCATTTGCTTCATTGCAGCAACGCGACGCCTACATGCAACAATTCCATCAACTGCTTCACTCCAATTCCGCCTGGCAGCTGCCCAACGCCAGTGGCCATTTCTTCAGTGTGCTGCGCGCTCTAAAGGTCGCGGATGTGCGCTACTGCGATGCCTATTGGTCCGCAGTGGCCGACCAGCTGCCATCCTGCGCCCAGGAGCGGTCCCAGCTGAGTTTCCTGCGCCATTGCCAGCGCTACATGAACTTCAACAACAACCTCGGCGGAACCTATCGCCATCAGAGAGTGGAACGTAAGCTGAGTCGCCTCTGCATAGATTCCATCGAACAGGACGTGGCCGGTAGATTGCCCACAAAATTCGCCCGTTTGGCTGCCTTCGTGCTGGGCTATGGCCATACACCATTTGATTGGAAGAAGTTTCCCAATGTTCTGCTCAGCAAAATGTTGGCCATGGCACCACAATTCAATATCCAGGATTGTTTCCTGCTCAGCCGTGGCATGCAGATTGCTTGCGAGCTGCGCTTCCGTCAGCATGTACCACATGTGCTGGCCATGCAGCTGGCCACCATGGACAGCATCCTAATTGCCTGTGCCGAGCGACACTTGAGCAATAGCGAAGAGCAGCCCCTCAATGCCAGCGATCTGAGCGTCATTGTGCGCACGCTCAGTCATCGCAAGAGTAAGTCAATCAGTCCGTCTGCCAATAATTCATCCCTAGGCTAATCCTCATCTCCATCCCCATCCCCATCTCCGACAGCTCTGAAGAACAGCCAGGTGTACAACCAAGCCCTAGCCCACTATAAGACTCTGCAGTGCAACGATCTCAATTCGCGTGTCGTGCGCGAGATGGCCTACAATTTCAATGCCTCGCACTACTTTGTGCCCGAACTGCTGGAGTCCATGTTCGACTATGTGGCCCAACAGCACGAGCACATAACGGGTGACACCGTCGAGAAGGTGCTCACCTGCGCCTACAATCTGGGCTACACACCTGCTTCGCTGGAGGCATTGGATTACGCTGCTTTGGTCTTAATACGGTGCGTAGACAAGTTGATGTCTTCTAGATATACCCTGTAGCTGATACATAATTAAGACGGGTATATAGGACTTTAGTACATAGTAGTGCGATTTCTTTAAATGCTCACTGAGGATAACTCTTAGTCGTACCATTAAATCAGCTCTATCTTCTCCCACCCACAGCGACTTTGATCACATGAGCGGTTTATCCTTGGTGCAATCGTGCCTAGCGCTTTGCTTCTACAAGGCAATACCTGAGCAGCTAATCAATCAGGTGTTCTGCGTCAAGTTTATTCAGCGCATTGAGGACGAGATCCAGATCTGTTACTCAAAGGCCACATATCCTGGCATGGTGCTGAATCGTGTGATGCAACTGAACCGCACTGTTTGCCTGGATATGCCCGAAACAAACGTGCCCTGGTTCCAGCAGAACTATGTGGAGGCACAGCTCAGCAAGAGTGAGTATATACCATATTTTAGCTCAATTATCTAATAATCTAGAGTAAAATTTCTTTTAGAACACGTTGTACCCAGCGCGTTTAATACGGATGTGAAGCAGCTGCTGCGAGATCTGCTCAAGGATGAGAACTATTTTCGCTGCAATCACACAACGCCCTATGGCTATCAAATAGACTTTGTGATACACTTCGATAAGGACAAACGACCCATGCCTGCGCCAGCCGTTGAGGCCACGATGTTGGATCGCATAACCAAGTAAAAACTCGCAATCTTATATGTAATACCTATAATAAAACTAATATATATTCTCTATATCCTTACCAGGGTGGCTATACTGCTGCTCAAACTGGACTCCTTCTGTGAGAATGATTTGACCGCATTGCGCGGCCCGGAATCTTTAAAGATCAAGCATCTGGAAATGATGGGCTATAAGGTGCTGCACATTAACGAACACGACTGGAACTCCAAGTACATGAATGCGCCAGGCGCCAAGGCAAACTATTTGAAATGCCTACTGCAAATTTCGCATTAATTAGAAAAATTCATTAATTAACTTAAGACACTGAACTAAATTAAGACTTACGTTTAAAATTAGTTTAGCTGTGCAGTTGTTGATTATATTGTTCTTGTTGTGC